TCTTGTCAGTGTCTCTGTAGTGTCCTCTGTAGTGTCTCTGTAGTGTCTCTCTGTAGTGTCTCTGTCTTTGTAGTGTCTCCTGTAGTGTCCTCTCTAGGTCGTGTCTCTGTAGTGTCTCTGTATGTGTCCTCTGTAGTGTCTCTGTAGTGTCTCTCTTGTAGTGTCTCTGTAGTGTCTCTCTGTAGTGTCTAGTGTCTCTGTAGTGTCTCTGTAGTGTCTCTCTGTAGTGTCTCTGTAGTGTCTCTGTATGCTCTCTGTAGTTCTCTGTAGTGTCTCCTGTAGTGTCTCTTGTAGTTATCTGTAGTCTCTCTGTAGTGTTCTCTTAGTGTCTCTGTAGTGTCTCTGTAGTGATTCTGTAGTTGTCCTCTGTAGTGTCTCCTGTAGTGTCTCTCTGTAGTGTCTCTGTATCCTGTAGTCTCTGTAGTGTCGTCTCTCTGTAGTCTCTCTGTAGTCTCTCTGTAGTGTCTCTCTGTAGTGTCTCTGTAGTGTCTCTCTGTAGTGTCTCTTGTAGTGTCTCTGTAGTTCTCTGTAGGTCTCTGGTCTCTCTGTAGTGTCTCTCTGTAGTGTCTCTGTAGTGTCTCTGTAGTGTCTCTGTAGTGTCTCTCTGTAGTTCTCTGTATTCTCTGTATGTCTCTGTATCTCTCTGTAGTGTCTCTCTGTAGTGGTCTCTCTTGTAGTGTCCTCTGTAGTGTCTCTCTGTAGTGTCTCTCTGTATGTCTCTTGTGTCTCTGTAGTGTCTCCTGTAGTGTCTCTGTAGTGTCTCTCTGTAGTGTCTCTGTAGTGTCTCTCTGTAGTGTCTCTGTAGTGTCCTCTGTGTCTCTCTGTAGTGTCTCTGTAGTGTCTCTTGTAGTGTCCTCTGTAGTGTCTCTCTGTAGTGTCTCTCGTAGTGTCTCTGTAGTGTCTCTCTGTAGTGTCTCTGTAGTTCTCTGTAGTGTTCTGTAGTGTCTCTGTAGTTCTCTGTAGTCTCTCTGTAGTGTCTCTGTAGGTCTCTCTGTAGTGTCTCTGTAGTGTCTCTCTGTAGTGTCTCTGTAGTTCTCTGTAGTGTCTCTCTGTAGTCTCTCTGTAGTGTCTCTGTAGTGTCTCTCGTAGTGTCTCGTAGTGTCTGTTGTAGTGCTCTGTAGTGTCTCTGGTAGTGTCTCTCTGTAGTCTCTCTGTAGTGTCTCTGTAGTGTCCTCTGTAGTGTCCTCTGTAGTGTCTCTGTATGTCTCTCTGTAGTGTCTCTGTAGTGGTCCTCTCTGTAGTGTCTCTGTAGTGTCCTCTCTGTAGTGTCTCTCTGTAGTGTCTCTGTGTGCTCTCTTAGTGTCTCTCTGTAGTGTCTCTGTAGTGTCTCTGTAGTGTCTCGTAGGTCTCTGTAGTGGTCTCTGTAGTGTCTCTCTGTAGTGTCCTCTGTAGTGTCCTTAGTGTCTCTGTATGTGTCTCTGTAGTGTTCTGTAGTGTCTCTCTGTAGTGTCTCTCGGTAGTGTCTCTGTAGTGTCTCTGTAGTGTCTCTGTAGTGTCTCTCTGTATTGTCTCCTGTAGTGTCTCTCGTAGTGTCTCTGTAGTGTCTCTCTGTAGTGTCTCTGTAGTGTCCTCTGTAGTGTCTCTCTGTAGTGTCTCTCTGTAGTGTCCTCTGTAGTGTCTCTGTAGTGTCCTCTGTAGTGTCTCTGTAGTGTCTCTTGTAGTGTCCTCTGTAGGCTCTGTAGTGTCTCTGTAGTGTCTCTGTAGTGTTCTCTGTAGTGTCTCGTAGTTGTGTCTCTGTAGTGTCTCTCTGTAGTGTCTCTGTAGTTCTTCTTAGTGTCTCTGTAGTGTCTCTGTAGTGTCTCTCTGTAGTCTCGTAGTGTCTCTGTAGTGTCTCTCTGTAGTGTCTCTGTAGTGTCTCTGTAGTGGTCTCTGTAGTGTCTCTGTAGTGTCTCTCTGTAGTGTTCTCTGTAGTGTCTCTGTAGTGTCTCTGTAGTGTCTCTGTAGTGTCTCTCTGTAGTGTCTCTGTAGTGTCTCTGTAGTGTCTCTCTGTAGTGTCTCTGTAGTGTCCTCTGTAGTGTCTCTGTAGTGTCTCTCTGTAGTGTCTCTCTGTAGTGTCTCTGTAGTGTCTCGTATGTCTGTAGTGTCTCTCTGTAGTGTCTCTCTGTAGTGTCTCTGTAGTCTGTATTGTCTCTGTAGTGTCTCTGTAGTGTCTCTTGTAGTGCTCTCTGTAGTGCTCCTGTAGTGTCTCTCTGTAGTTCTCTGTAGTCTCTGTAGTGTCTCTGTAGTGTCTCTGTAGTGTCTCTGTAGTGTCTCTGTAGTGCTCTGTATTCTGTAGTGTCTCTGTAGTGTCTCTCTGTAGTGTCTCTGTGTGTCTCTCTGTAGTCTCTCTGTGTCTCTGTAGTGTCTCTGTAGTGTCTCTCTGTAGTGTCTCTCTGTAGTGTCTCTGTAGTGTCTCTGTAGTGTCTCTGTAGTGTCTCTGTAGTGTCTCTGTAGTGTCTCTGTAGTGTCTCTGTAGTGTCTCTCTGTAGTGTCTCTCTGTAGTGTCTCTCTGTAGTCTCTCTGTAGTGTCTCTGTAGTGTCTCTGTAGTGTCTCTGTAGTGTCTCTCTGTAGTGTCTCCTGTAGTGTCTCTCTGTAGTCTCTCTGTAGTGTTCTCTGTATGTGTCTCTGTAGTGTCTCTGTAGTGTCTCTCTGTAGTGTCTCTGTAGTGTCTCTGTAGTGTCTCTGTAGTGTCTCTCTGTAGTGTCTCTCTGTAGTGTCCTGTCAGTGTCCTCTGTAGTCTCTCTGTAGTGTCTCTGTAGTGTCTCCTGTATGTCTCTGTAGTGGTCCGTGTCTCTGTAGTGTCTCTGTAGTGTCTCTCTGTAGTGTCTCTGTAGTGTCTCTCTGTAGTGTCTCTGTAGTTGTCTCTGTAGTGTCTTCTGTAGTGTCTCTCTGTAGTGTCTCTCTGTAGTGTCTCTGTAGTGTCTCTGTAGTGTCTCTGTAGTGTCTCTGTAGTGTCTCTGTAGTGTCTCTCTGTAGTGTCTCTCTGTAGTGTCTTCTGTAGTGTCTCTCTGTAGTGTCTCTGTAGTGTCTCTCTGTAGTGTCTCTCTGTAGTGTCTCTGTAGTGTCTCTGTAGTGTCTCTGTAGTGTCTCTGTAGTGTCTCTCTGTAGTGTCTCTGTAGTGTCTCTGTAGTGTCTCTCTGTAGTGTCTCTGTAGTGTCTCTCTGTAGTGTCTCTGTAGTGTCTCTGTAGTGTCTCTGTATGTCTGTGTGTCTCTGTAGTGTCTCTCTGTAGTGTCTCTCGTAGTCCTGTAGTCTCTCTGTAGTGTCTCTTGTAGTGTCTCTGTATTGCTCGTAGTGTCTCTGTAGTGTCTCGTAGGTCTCTGTAGTGTCTCTCTGTAGTGTCTCTGTAGTGTCTCTGTAGTGTCTCTGTAGTGTCTCTCTGTAGTGTCTCTGTAGTGTCTCTCTGTAGTGTCTCCTGTAGTGTCTCTGTAGTGTCTCTCTGTAGTGTCTCTGTAGTGTGTCTCTGTAGTGTCTCTCTGTAGTGTCTCTGTAGTGTTCTCTGTAGTGTCTCTGTAGTGTCTCTGGTAGTGTGTCTCTGTAGTGTCTCTGTAGTGTCTCTGTAGTGTCTCTCTGTAGTGTCTCTCTGTAGTGTCTCTTGTGTGTCTCTGTAGTGTCTCTGTAGTGTCTCTGTAGTGTCTCTGTAGTGTCTCTGTAGTGTCTCTCTGTAGTGTCCTCTGTAGTGTCTCTGGTAGTCTCTCTGTAGTGTCTCTGTAGTGTCTCTCTGTAGTGTCTCTGTAGTGTCTCTCTGTAGTGTCTCTGTAGTGTCTCTCTGTATGTTCTCTGTAGTGTCTCTGTAGTGTCTCTGTAGTGTCTCCTGTAGTGTCTCTCTGTAGTGTCTCTCTGTAGTGTCTCTGTAGTGTCTCTGTAGTGTCTCTGTAGTGTCTCTGTGTCTCTCTGTAGTGTCTCTGTAGTCTCTCTGTAGTGTCTCTGTAGTGTCCTCTGTAGGTCTCTATAGTGTCTCTCTGTAGTGTCTCTGTAGTTCTCTGTAGTGTCTTCTCTTAGTGTCCCTGGTTGTTCTCTCTGTAATGCTCTGTAGGTCTCTGTAGTGTCTCGTAGTTCTCTAAAAGTGTTCTCTGTAGTCTCTCTGTAGGCTCTGTAGTGTCTCTCTGTAGTGTTCTCTGTAGTGTCTCTGAAAGTGTCTCTGTAGTGTCTCTGTAGTGTCTCTGTAGTGTCTCTGTAGTGTCTCTGTAGTGTCTCTGTAGTGTATCTGTAGCCTGGTCTGTAGCGGGGTCTGGTCTGTGTCCCTGGGGCTTTATGGAGTGATTTAATTACTGATTGATGAGGAGGAGAAGTGTGTTGGAGGAATGAGTGTCTTCTTTCCTCAGGCAGGAGTTAGAGGTTACAGCACATCAATAGACAGATGGCCACAGACTGGGACCAATGGGAGTAAAACGTATTAGGTCTACGCAAAAACAACAGGAAAACGTTTTGTAAACACAAATTATATTTTAAATAAATAATTTGTATCGCTGCAGTTATATATATTATTAAAAGCTGAAATTGTAGGCTAGCCCTAATAATCAAATGATATGTGATATTTTGAATTTCCAAGATGCACGTCTTGCCGTTTCAATGTGCCGACCACTGCATTTATCAAGTTAGAAATGTCCTATATTATTAGACAATAACTGGCCATTTGAGGTTTAGGGTTTTGAATGGTCAAATAACATTTATCAGACGTTCCATTATAACAATAGATTTGTTATAACCTTGAATGTCTATTTCTCTTGGATGATGATATGACTGTGCCAATATTATCACATAAAGGTTAAGGATCTAAAAGCAGAAATTATAATATTGAAACCAAATAAAACACAACTGAAGCAAATATCAATCCAAAAGTATAGAACAAAACACAATCCACACTATGGGTAAAAGTTTGGTTCTATATAGCAGGGCTGTATTCATGTTTGTATTGGAGTATGTTCTGTACCACTCTCAATGTGTATAGGGCTATATTTCCATTTACCTGTTGGTGTGTTTGTCAGTGTTCATATTGACATGTGTGTTTCTCTCTAGATGAGTATGTGAGTTCTGAGGAGAAGAAGAAGAGGAAGCCTCGTCGTAACCGAACAACCTTCAACAGCAGTCAGCTGCAGGCGCTAGAGAGAGTGTTTGAGAAGACACACTACCCTGACGCCTTCGTACGGGAGGACCTGGCACGCAGGGTTAACCTCATTGAGACACGGGTACAGGTGAAAGTCAGGGTTAACCTCACTGAGGTACGGGTACAGGTGAGAGTCAGGGTTAACCTCACTGAGGGTACGGGGTACAGGTGAGAGTCAGGGTTAACCTCACTGAGGTACGGGGTACAGGTGAGAGTCAGGGTTAACCTCACTGAGGTACGGGGTACAGGTGAGAGTCAGGGTTAACCTCACTGAGGTACGGGTACAGGTGAGAGTCAGGGTTAACCTCACTGAGGTACGGGGTACAGGTGAGAGTCAGGGTTAACCTCACTGAGGTACGGGGTACAGGTGAGAGTCAGGGTTAACCTCACTGAGGTACGGGTACAGGTGAGAGTCAGGGTTAACCTCACTGAGATACGGGGTACAGGTGAAAGTCAGGGTTAACCTCACTGAGGTACGGGGTACAGGTGAGAGTCAGGGTTAACCTCACTGAGGTACGGGGTACAGGTGAGAGTCAGGGTTAACCTCACTGAGTACGGGTACAGGTGAGAGTCAGGGTTAACCTCACTGAGATACGGGGTACAGGTGAGAGTCAGGGTTTAACCTCACTGAGGTACAGGGGGGGTACAGGTGAGAGTCAGGGTTAACCTCACTGAGGTACGGGGTACAGGTGAGAGTCCAGGGTTAACCTCACTGGAGGTACGGGGTACAGGTGAGAGTCCAGGGTTAACCTCACTGAGGTACGGGGTACAGGTGAGAGTCAGGGTTAACCTCACTGAGGGTACGGGGTACAGGTGAGAGTCAGGGTTAACCTCACTGAGGTACGGGGTACAGGTGAGAGTCAGGGTTAACCTCACTGAGGTACGAGGTACAGGTGAGAGTCAGGGTTAACCTCATTGAGGTACGGGTACAGGTGAGAGTCAGCCTGGATCAGCTATGGGCAGTGACTCGGTTCCACTGAAATCCTTCAAAGCGGATGTAGAATAGAATAGAAAATAGTAGAACATAATAGAACACAATAGAATGTTCTTCTATTCTCTGACCTCACTCACCATCTTTATCTTGACAGCAACAATATGCAAATAGCATCATCTGATTTACACCACCAGTACCTGTCCTCTCTCTCTCTCTAACGATGTTATACCTGTCCTCTCTCTCTCTCTAACGATGTTCCACCTGTCCTCTCTCTCTCTAACGATGTTCTACCTGTCCTCTCTCTCTCTCTAACGATGTTCCACCTGTCCTCTCTCTCTCTAACGATGTTCCACCTGTCCTCTCTCTCTCTCTAACGATGTTCCACCTGTCCTCTCTCTCTCTCTAACGATGTTCCACCTGTCCTCTCTCTCTCTCTAACGATGTTCCAACTGTCCTCTCTCTCTCTTAACGATGTTCCAACTGTCCTCTCTCTCTCTCTAACGATGCTTCCACCTGTCCTCTCCTCTCTAACGATGTTATACCTGTCCTCTCTCTCTCTCTAACGATGTTCCAACTGTCCTCTCTCTCTCTCTAACGATGTTCCACCTGTCCTCTCTCTCTCTAACGATGTTATACTGTCCTCTCTCTCTCTCTAACGATGTTTCCAACTGTCTCTCTCTCTCTCTAACGATGTTCCACCTGTCCTCTCTCTCTCTCTAACGATGTTTCTACCTGTCCTCATCGCTCTCTCTAACGATGTTCCACCTGTCCTCTCTCTCTCTAACGATGTTCCACCTGTCCTCTCTCTCTCTCTAACGATGTTCCACCTGTCCTCTCTCTCCTCTCTCTAACGATGTTCCACCTGTCCTCTCTCTCTCTAACGAGTTATACCTGTCCTCTCTCTCTCTCTAACGATGTTCCACCTGTCCTCTCTCTCTCTAACGATGTTCCACCTGTCCTCTCTCTCTCTCTAACGATGTTCCACCTGTCCTCTCTCTCTCTAACGATGTTATACCTGTCCTCTCTCTCTCTCTAACGATGTTTCCAACTGTCCCTCTCTCTCTCTCTAACGATGTTCCACCTGTCCTCTTCTCTCTCTCTAACGATGTTCCACCTGTCCTCTCTCTCTCTAACGATGTTCCAACTGTCCTCCTCTCTCTCTCTAACGATGTTCCACCTGTCCTCTCTCTCTCTAACGATGTTTAATACCTGTCCCCCCCCAATCTCTCTCTCCTCTCTAACGATGTTCCCTTCTCTCTCTCTCTAACGATGTTCCAACTGTCCTCTCTCTCTCTCTACGATGTTCCACCTGTCCTCTCTCTCTCTAACGAGGGTTCCCACCTGTCCTCTCTCTCTCTCTAACGATGTTCTAACTGTCCTCTCCTCTCTCTAACGATGTTCCACCTGTCCTCTCTCTCTCTAACGATGTTCCACCTGTCCTCTCTCTCTCTCTAACGATGTTCCAACTGTCCTCTCTCTCTCTAACGATGTTCCACCTGTCCTCTCTCTCTCTCTAACGATGTTCCACCTGTCCTCTCTCTCTCTCTAACGATGTTCCACCTGTCCTCTCTCTCTCTAACGATGTTATACCTGTCCTCTCTCTCTCTCTAACGATGTTCCACCTGTCCTCTCTCTCTCTCTAACGAGTTCCCACCTGTCCTCTCTCTCTCTCTAACGATGTTCCACCTGTCCTCTCTCTCTCTCTAACGATGTTCCAACTGTCCTCTCTCTCTCTCTAACGATGTTCCACCTGTCCTCTCTCTCTCTAACGATGTTATTACATGTCCTCTCTCTCTCTCTAACGATGTTCCACCTGTCCTCTCTCCTCTCTAACGATGTTATACCTGTCCTCTCTCTCTCTCTAACGATGTTCCAACTGTCCTCTCTCTCTCTCTAACGATGTTCCACCTGTCCTCTCTCTCTCTCTAACGATGTTCTACCTGTCCTCTCTCTCTCTCTAACGATGTTCCACCTGTCCTCTCTCTCTCTAACGATGTTCCACCTGTCCTCTCTCTCTCTCTAACGATGTTCCACCTGTCCTCTCTCTCTCTCTAACGATGTTCCACCTGTCCTCTCTCTCTCGATGTTCACCACCTGTCCCTATCTCTCTCTAACGATGTTCCACCTGCCTCTCTCTCTCTCTAACGATGTTCCACCTGTCCTCTCTCTCTCTAACGATGTTCCAACTGTCCTCGCTCTCTCTCTCTACGATGTTCCACCTGTCCTCTCTCTCTCTCTAACGATGTTCCACCTGTCCTATCTCCTCTCTCTCTCTCTAACGATGTTCCAACCTGTCCTCTCTCTCTCTCTAACGATGTTCCACCTGTCCATCTCTCTCTCTCTAAACGATGTTCAACTGTCATCTCTCTCTCTCTAACGATGTTCCACCGTCCTCTCTCTCTCTCTAACGATGTTCCACCTGTCCTCTCTCTCTCTAACGATGTTCCACCTGTCCTCTCTCTCTCTCTAAACGATGTTTTACCTGTCCTCATCTCTCTCTAACAATGTTCTACCTGTCACTCTCTCTCTCACCTGTCCTGTCTCTCTCTCTAATGATTTTACTACCTGTCTTCTCTCTCTCTAAGGTTGTTTACCTGTCCTCTCTCTCTCTTACAATGTTTCTCCTGTCCTCTCTCACTAACAATGTTTTACCTGTCCTCTCTCTAACGATGTTCTATCTGTCCTCTCTCTCTCTCTAAAAATGTCCACCTGTCCTCTCTCTCGCTCTCTCTAACAATGTTTACCTATACTCTCTCTCTCTAACAATGTGGCACCTGTCCTCTCTCTCTCCAGGTGTGGTTTCAGAACAGGAGGGCTAAGTTCCGTCGTAACGAGCGTGCCATGCTGGCCAGTAAAAATGCCTCCATGATAAAGGCCTACTCTCGTGACCTAGCGGCGGTGGAGCAGCCAATCGTACCTCGCCCCGCCCCTCGACCCAATGACTACCTGTCCTGGGGCTCCTCCTCACCCTACAGGTAAGGACAGGACAGGTAACCGTCTCAGCTCTTTGGATTTGGGTTTTAAACCATACTGTATGTCATATACAGGCTGGGATTTAATTAAAAACACATGTCATATACAGTGAGGGAAAAAATTATTTGATCCCCTGCTGATTTTGTACATTTGCCCCCTGACAAAGAGATGACCATTCTATAATTTTAATGGTAGGTTTATTTGAACAGTGAGAGGCAGAATAACAACAACAAAATCCAGAAAAACGCATGTCAAAAAAGTTATAAATTGATTTGCATTTTAATGAGGGAAATAAGTATTTGACCCCCTCTCAATCAGAAAGATTTCTGGATCCCAGGTGTCTTTTATACAGGTAACGAGCTGAGATTAGGAGCACACTCTTAAGGGAGTGCTCCTAATCTCAGCTTGTTACCTGTATAAAAGACACCTGTCCACAGAAGCAATCAATCAATCAGATTCCAAACTCTCCACCATGGCCAAGACCAAAGAGCTCTCCAAGGATGTCAGGGACAAGATTGTAGACCTACACAAGGCTGGAATGGGCTACAAGACCATCGCCAAGCAGCTTGGTGAGAAGGTGACAACAGTTGTTGCGATTATTCGCAAATGGAAGAAACACAAAAGAACTGTCAATCTCCCTCGGCCTGGGGCTCCATGCAAGATCTCACCTCGTGGAGTTGCAATGATCATGAGAACGGTGAGGAATCAGCCCAGAACTACACGGGAGGATCTTGTCAATGATCTCAAGGCAGCTGGGACCATAGTCACCAAGAAAACAATTGGTAACACACTACGACGTGATGGACTGAAATCCTGCAGCGCCCGCAAGGTCCCCCTGCTCAAGAAAGCACATATACAGGGCCGTCTGAAGTTTGCCAATGAACATCTGAATGATTCAGAGGAGAACTGGGTGAAAGTGTTGTGGTCAGATGAGCAAAAATCGAGCTCTTTGGCATCAACTCAACTCGCCGTGTTTGGAGGAGGAGGAATGCTGCCTATGACCCCAGAACACCATCCCCACCGTCAAACATGGAGGTGGAAACATTATGCTTTGGGGGTGTTTTTCTGCTAAGGGGACAGGACAACTTCACCGCATCAAAGGGACGATGGACGGGGCCATGTACCGTAAAATCTTGGGTGAGAACCTCCTTCCCTTAGCCAGGGCATTGAAAATGGGTCGTGGATGGGTATTCCAGCATGACAATGACCCAAAACACACGGCCAAGGCAACAAAGGAGTGGCTCAAGAAGAAGCACATTAAGGTCCTGGAGTGGCCTAGCCAGTCTCCAGACCTTAATCCCATAGAAAATCTGTGGAGGGAGCTGAAGGTTCGAGTTGCCAAACGTCAGCCTCGAAACCTTAATGACTTGGAGAAGATCTGCAAAGAGGAGTGGAACAAAATCCCTCCTGAGATGTGTGCAAACCTGGTGGCCAACTACAAGAAACGTCTGACCTCTGTGATTGCCAACAAGGGTTTTGCCACCAAGTACTGTCATGTTTTGCAGAGGGGTCAAATACTTATTTCCCTCATTAAAATGCAAATCAATTTATAACATCTTTGACATGCGTTTTTCTGGATTTTTTTGTTGTTATTCTGTCTCTCACTGTTCAAATAAACCTACCATTAAAATTATAGACTGATCATGTCTTTGTCAGTGGGCAAACGTACAAAATCAGCAGGGGATCAAATACTTTTTTCCCTCACTGTATGCATATTCTTGATACCATTGGAAAGGAAACACTTTGAAGTTTCAATACTGGACTATTTTGTATCAAGTCTGCCCAAATGTGCTGAATTGGTCAATTGATACATTTTCAAGTACAAAACTACAGAGAACATACAAAAATGATATGGTAATACAAAATGTAAGTTTACACACTCCCAGGAATGTCATTCATGATGGATCATTAGCTTATACACTAACTTTCACACATCTAGACGGCCGGGCGGGGCGGGTGTGGAGCCAGAGACAGCAGGGGTTCAAACTGTAGAACCCAGTTCCTACATTTGAATATAAAAATTGATTTTATCAAACAAAACTATGCTACATTTTATCTCTGGGACCCATAGGAAGACAAATCAGAGCAAGATTACTGAATGTAAGTACATTATTTACCTTCAGAGGTGAATGTATCAAACCAGTTGCCGTGCTAAGTTTTCTGTTGTTGTGCACTCCTCAAACAATAGCATGGTATTTTTTCACTGTAATAGCTACTGTAAATTGGACAGTGCAGTTAGATTAACAATAATGTAAGCTTTCTGCCAATATAAGACATGTCTATGTCCTGGAAAGTTTGCTGTTACTTACAACAGTCATGCTAATCACATTAGCGCACGTTAGCTCAACCGTCCCGTATACGGGACACCGATCCCGTAGAGGTTAAACCCATTTTTACTCCTGAACTTATTTAGGCTTGCCATAACAAAGGGGTTGAACACTTAATGACTCGAGACATTTCAGATGTTCATGTTTTATTACAGTGCCTTCGAAATTCAAAAGGCACTCAAATATCTGAGCTATCTTTGTTGCAGGTGCATGGCAACCATAGAATAACATGAGAAGAAAGAAGAAACCCTCACACTGCTCTTGATAGTATCACTGCTCTTGATAGTATCACTGCTCTTGATGGTATCACTGCTCTTGATGGTATCACTGCTCTTGATAGTATCACTGCTCTTGATAGTATCACTGCTCTTGATAGTATCACTGCTCTTTAATAAGCTTTACGTATCAGCCTCAAGGCCTTAGTCAGAGCTTTTGTGAGTGTTTTTAATTTGCACCCTCATGTAGACATTGCTTCACCCACATCCCTTCAATGCATCGAATGGGGGAGGAGTCGAGGGAAAATAAATAAAGTTGTTACCAAATATAACCAGTGAAAAAGTACTAAATTGTCATACTTGAGTAAAAGTAAAGATACCTTAATAGAAAATGACTCAAGTAAAAGTGAAAGTCACCCAGTAAAATACTACTTGAGTAAAAGTCTAAAAGTATTTGGTTTTAAATATACTTAAGTATCAAAAGTAAATGGAATTGCTTAAATGTACTTAAGTATAAAAGTACATTCCTTATATTAAGTGAACCAGACGGCACAATTCCCCCCCCACATAATTGCAAACGAAGCGTTTGTGTTTAGTGAGTCCTCCAGATCAGAGGCAGTAGACCAGGGACGTCCTCTTGATAAGTGTGTGAATTGGACCATTTTCATGTCGAAATGTAACGACTACTTTTGGGTGTCAGGGAAAATGTATGGAGTAAAAAGTACATTATTTTCTTTAGGAATGTAGTGAAGTAAAAGTAAAAGTTGGCAAAAATATAAATAGTAAAGTGCAGATACCCAAAAAAACTACTTAAGTAGTACTTTAAAGTATTTTACTTAAGTACTTTACACCACTGAATATAACAATGTGAATGTCATAAGTATTCTAATGAAGCGTGTACATATAGTATTAAACACGTGTGTAAAACATCTGGTCGGCAGGTAGCTTAGTGGTTAAGAGCGTTGTGCCAGTAATCGAAAGGTCGCTGGTTCTAATCCCTGAGCCGACTAGGTGAAAAGTCTGTCGATGTGCCCTTGAGCAAGGCACTTAACCCTACTTGCTCCTGTAAGAGCGTCTGCTAAATGACTAAAATGTAAATATAAAACCACAATGAGGACATCGACCTATCAAGTACGTTTTCATAAATCATTGGGTACAGTGCAAGAAAAAACATCAGAGTAACCTGAAGTGGTGGCAATAATTCATGTTCACATTTACAACGTAACATGCGTGGACATTTCATCACTAAGACCTTTAGGGAATAATGTCTGGAGGGTGGAAATCCCATGTATATCTACTGGTGTTGGTTGAGCATCATTACATTCACGTCATTTAGCAGACACTCTTATCCAGAGCGACTTACAGTTAGTGAGTGCATACATTATTATTTTTTATTTTTCATACTGGCCCCCCCCCCCGTGGGAATCGAACCCACAACCCTGGCTTTGCAAATGCCATGCTCTACCAACTGAGCTACATCCCTGCCGGCCATTCCCTCCCCTACCCTGGAACGATGCTGGGCCAATTGTGCGCCGCCCCATGGGTCTCCCGGTCTCCCGGTCACGGCCGGCTACGACAGAGCCTCATCTTGTGTTTTCCGTAATTCCAAATGAAGAGCTTCATCCACACATTGTAGAGAGTAGCCTCTTCTGTATATTTGGTTAATTCTCTGGCTGGGCAAATAAGAGGAGGTGGTATAGCTCATCTATTATTTAGCTGAATCGGGGACAGTATAGGCAACTCCAAACGCCCGCGGAGGTTGTGAAATACAGGATGAACACGAGACTCACATGTTGCGGTTCATTTATTGTTTTAATTATTCCAGGCTCCCTTTGTTATTTCGTTTTCGTTTTAGAAATAAAATGGTTGAACGAATTAATGATTAATGTGTATATTGAAGTAGCAATTGAAAGAGAACGCTTTGGAGATAATGGGGAAATTACCAGACCAAATGTGAGGACACAACGGTTCACTTGATACAAGACTAAAGTTACAAACGTCTCAATATCACAGACCTGATTTGCCCTAGCGAAAAATGCATCAACCCCTATTAAAAACCTTATCTCAAAACCTGAATATGAATACATTTGCTGCAAATGTGCCATACGTCCATGCCTGTTATTTTGCATAAATTACACAAACCTAAAACACAACAAGGCAATTATCCAGGCAGACCAGTGGTTGCATTTATCCAGGCAGACCAGTGGTTGCATTTATCCAGGCAGACCAGTGGTTGCATTTATCCAGGCAGACCAGTGGTTGCATTTATCCAGGCAGACCAGTGGTTGCATTTATCCAGGCAGACCAGTGGTTGCATTTATCCAGACAGACCAGTGGTTGCATTTATCCAGACAGACCAGTGGTTGCATTTATCCAGGCAGACCAGTGGTTGCATTTATCCAGGCAGACCAGTGGTTGCATTTATCCAGGCAGACCAGTGGTTGCATTTATCCAGGCAGACCAGTGGTTGCATTTATCCAGGCAGACCAGTGG